CCAATTGCTGTTTCTGAAGGGTCATCCATCCTGGCATTTCTACCTCGAATGATCTTAATTATGCAAATGAACCTATGTTGGTCTAACAATATTAAGAGGTAAAATGTAAGTCTTATTAGTGAGGGGAGGAAATATTTGTCTTAGCCTAGGTTCTCTAGAATAACAAAATCCCATGAAGCTTATATATGTGTATTTAAAAAAATTAAACATTGTCGTTGTCAATTCCAATTCAGAAAGACTGAAATAATGTGAAAACAAAAACAAAACCCCACTGCAGTTTAGGTGGGGATTACTGATCTTTGAGCTGTGTTAACATGAGTGTACATGAGTCTGCTGTACATGGGCCGGGCCAGAGAGAGGGTTCTTGGGGAGTGAAACACTGGAGAAGAAAGAAAAAAGGAAATAAAATGGGGAATAGTTTTGTTGGGTCAGGGACAAGCTGGCTGTCAGGGCCTCAACCCTTCTCCCTGCACATACCAGGAATCCTAACAGACTCTAAGAATAACCGTCTTTCCTCCCCACCTGCAACGGCTGGACAATTAGACTAAGGAAAAACATGACAGCAGTGGAAAATCCCCAGCAGCTGAAGCCCCAACTCCTCCCCAAAGAGACTCTCCTCTGTCCCTCCTTTAAAACCCACCCCTCTCTTCACTGGGCACGACTTCCCTGGGCTACTTGCTAGACCATGGAACCTCGTCCAGGAACTTCTTTTCTAATAACGAGCTGTTAAACCCTCTTAATTTTTTCTCTCTTTGTCCTTGTTCCTCAATTTACCTCTCATTTGGTGCATGAAACCTGGGAGGAGTAAGAGGTGTCTTGACCCCCCACTCCCACTCCCCTCTAACCGGGACCTTTCAGCTGACAGTACCTGACTAAATTTTATCTCTGCTATTTCGGCCACTGTTGCTTGCTGCTGGGTTCTTCCACTAGAGGCCCTGTCCGTTCATTTCTGCTGAACTGTGGGCCCATGTCAGAGCTTCTCCATCAGCCAGGGAGTTGGGAGGCTGCTGAGCCCCCCTCCATCCAAAGGTCGGAGACATTCAGGGATGCCTGAGTCTCTCTGCTCCCCTTTCCCCTCCCCAGCCCCTCCTTCCAGAGGCCCAGTTGAATACTCAGGATGCTGATTGTCTACCTTGGTCTTTTCCAAGAACCCTGCAGCATGGGAAACAAACATTCCATGCTGAACTCCTCCACACATTTAGGGTGTCTCCGAACTAACGTCTCAACACTTGGCTTAACACCAAACGTCTGGCCCAAACACCTTGTGTTTTACTGCAATTCGGTTTAGCCCCAATATAAACGAGATAATGGCAAATGGCCTAAGGTCCCCTACGTCCAAGCTTTCTTCCTTCTACATGCCTGTCTTCCTCTCTGTACTACCTGTTATCCAGCTCATTTCTCTGTACTACCTGTCACCCAGCTCAAGTTCTCTTAGCCAAACACTCTCTTAATTAGGCCCCTGACAGTACTCCCCCCTCATCTTTCTCCACACACCCCTACTCCTTGTCTGCACTTCCAGTAAGGCCTCCTCCATATTCTGGGTGCCCCTCACCATCACCTCCCGCCACTTCCCCTCAACTCCCAACCACCCCTCCGCCGACCCCCCCACCCCCTCCAGGCCCTAAGTTTTCTCCTTTGTCTTCCTCTGTCATCATACCTGTTCACACCAACCCCTCCTTTGCCCCCTATGGGAAGTTGCGGGCATTGAAGATCTCGTCTATGTCCATGTTCCCTACTCTCTCAATAACTTAAAACAAATTGAAAAGCATTTAAGTTCCTTTTCCAATAATCCCACTACCTACATCAAAGAGTTTTGATATCTATCTCAAGCCTATAATTTATCATGGCATGATATTTTTGTAGTCCTTTCATCCATTCTCTCCTCAAATGAAAGAGAGTGTGTTTTTGCCGCTGCCTAGCAGCATGCAGACCAGGTTCATCTAAGTGACCTTACTGTGCCTGTGGGTACTACCGAGGCAGTCCCAAGGCAAAAACCAGGCTGGAGTTACCAGACCAATACCCAGGCAGGCCAGGATGGCTGGACCCGCCAAAATAAAATGCTCCCCTGTGTCTTGGCTGGTCTCCAGGCAATTTCTTACAGATCAATTAATTTTAATAAACTCAGAAATTACTCAAAGACTGCATAAAAGTCTGGCAGCATTTTAAATTGTCTGACTAAAGTGCTTACCCAATACTCCTGCCTAGACCCAACCTCACTAGCAGGGGCCACTGTCCTTGCCACATATTTCACTACTCAATCAGTTCCATACATTTAAAAAGTTAATAAAGGCCGAAGATGACCTTCAGACTCCTGTCTGGGACCTGGTAAATATGGTCTTTAAAGTCTTTAATACCAGAGAGGAGCAGACAGAGGCAGACAGGGAATCCTGAAATGGCCAGAAGGCAAACTTACAGGTTCAAGCCTTGATTGTAGCCCTGAGGCCCTGGGCAACCAAGAAGTTGGCATCCTTCCCAGGCCCTAGAAACAGCAGTTTCAGACCACATCCAGGAGCCTGCTTCAAGTGTAGCCAGCAAGGTCACTGGGCCAATCGCTGCCCACAACCTTGTCCGCCCAACAAGCTTTGTCCAGCATGTGGTCAATGGAGCCACTGGAGAAGTGACTGTCCTTTGGCACCTGATTGGGCTAAGCTGAAGCAGGCCGGGCCCCCGCTTCCCTGTACATCCCTGGAGGTCAGCAGCTGCCTCCTGGAATGAGGAGACCAAGAAACCATACCCAGGAATGCTTGACTCCCCGATAACCAGACAGCCTACCTGCCAGAGCTGATAAACTACATCCTGGGCCATAAACCTTACTGCTGACCTCCTGGAAAATAAACCTCGCTGTTGACATCCTGGGCCATAAAACCTTCCCCTGTCAGCACAACTCCCTTCCCCTGCTTACCTTTAAAAATCCCAGACCCTGAACAAAGCCCTTGATCTCCCTGGGCTATTTGCTAGACCAAGGGATTTCGCCCAGGGGCTCTTCACCCTGTCCCCCTCTCCCTGCTACAATAAAACTGTCTCTGACTGTATATCTACTTTGTTCTGACTTTGTTCTCATCCTGTGCCTCAGTTCGTCTTTACAGTACCCAGTCATGAAAGGCCAGTCCCTTCAAGCCCTGACCTGCCATTGATGCTACTGGGCCTAGCTGCCAAGAATTGACAGAGCCTAGACTCGACAACTCCATCCCCCTCACTGAGCCAGGGGTAACAGTCAAGGTAGCAGGTAAGGTTTTGTCCTTTCTGGTCAACACAGGGGCTGCCTTCTCTGTTTTGCCTTCCTTCTCTGGTCCTTTACACCTTTCCCAGGTCTCTGTCATGGGAATTGACAGCCATCCCTCTCACACGTTGTCTACTGGTCTCCTTACATGTTGGGTAGATAGCAGGCCAGTTACACAAAAAATTAAGATAGAGATAGTACGTTTTAAATAGAAAAGTATATAGAAAGCTGTTTGCCGAGAAGTTTCCGAGAAATGAGAAATGAATGTGTTCATTATAAGAAAAGGATTACAGTATAAGAAATATGAAGGGCATCAAACTAATGATTCCCTGGTGACACAGAAAGACAAGTGAGCAGACACGGTTGCCCACAGCCTAACTAATTCAAATCAGCTTCGCCCCTCACCCATCCTCTTCTTGTCACTGCCCAATGTCCAGCCACAGTATACAGACATGGAATTACACTCCTTGCTGTCCTAGAAAGGAACCTTAACCCCAGAAAGATGGGTAAAGCTGCAAGAAAAGCTAGCTTTACCCCAAGCCCAGGCAGCCGCCATCGTACAACTGATCCACCATTCTTTACACATTGGCCCCAAAAACCTTAGCCATTTTCTTAAACTTGTTTAATCACCTGTCATTGCAAACCCTTGTAAATACTGTTTGTTCTGCCTGCCACACTTGCGCCTCTGTCATCCTGCAGGAGGACTTAAAACAAACTTCCCCACCCATTAGATGAGAGGACATCTCTCAGGACAGGATTGGCAAGTAGACTTAACCCACATGCTGTCACACAAAAAGCTAAAATACCTCGTCACCGTGGTTGATACCCTTACAGAGTGGGTAAAAGCCTTTCCTACCGAACATTATTTTCCTACCGAACATGAAACTGCAGAAGTAGTGACAGACACCCTGTTGACCCACATCATTCCCAGATTTGGTCTCCCCACCTCCATACAAGCTGATAATGGGCCTACTTTCATTTCCAAAATTACTCATCAGGTATGTTCAGCCCTAGACGTAGATTGGAAGCTACACATCCCATATAGACCATCAGGAAAAAGAGAAAGGACTAATGGACTCCTCAAAGACCACCTCAAAGCTTTCTGTAAAACCCCGCCAGTCTTAGGTCACACTTTTACCTCTAGCCCTTCCTAGGATTAAAGCCTTCCCTTATAGTCCTACCAGGGGAAGCCAGGCCCCACCACATCATTACGGTTTGGTAGGCGCAATTGTACAGCGATAATAAGTAAAGATGATAGTAAAGTCATAGAGAGCATGAGAGAAAGAAGAGAAATATTACAATAATGCAATCAGACACATTTTATGATAGTGTGCTCACCTCAGTCCCGCTTGGTGGTCCATGTGGATGGAGAGAGAGAATCTTTAATGGTCCCCAAGCTTTTATCTTCTCTGGGAACATGCACTCCCCCTAATTACAGGTGAAGACATACGTCACAGGAAGGGGTTGTGCTATAGGTATTACAGTAATGGGAGGGGGTGGTCTAGGGGTATCCACGCAATAGGAAGAGGAGGGATTAGGGGTATACATGCAGCAAGATGGGTGGATCCTAGATTTAGGATGGCAGCTTAACCTTGACCTGTTCTCTGGGTCTCCATAGGAACCATTATCAGTAGGGTGTAAACCCCACCTACAGGAACCAAATAGATGACTGCTGGCCTGTCCACTGTCTTTAACAGCAGGGAGCGGGGCCTACCCCTGTGGTGGGGTGAGACAGCAGTCTGACCTACCCCCACATAGCCCCACCTTCCTTAGTCCTTTTGAACTCAGTATAGAAGACCATTCCTACTTAACCACCATCTACCAGTCCAAGAACCCCCCTTGGCATCCTACCTCCCTTATCTCTCTCTTTTAAGACAGCTGTTCCGAAAATACTCGGACAGTACCTGCCCCGCACCAAAGACTCAGACCAAACCTCTCAGGTGGCTATGCTGCAACCTAGAAACTCAGTGCTTCTCAAAACTCTTCATCCAATACTTACTTACCTGGCAGGGGAGATACGGTACCATGATCATGAAGGTGGTTTTCCCAGGGCGAGTCTTATCCATTGCACTCCAGATGTGCTGACCCCTGCAATTTCCCCAAATGTGAGAAACTCAGCTGCATAATTTGTGGTAGTGGGGGACTGCGTTCGCATTCTCCCCTAAAAAAAGAAAAAGAAAGAAAGAAAAGAAAAAGAAGAGAAACAAAACAAAACAATACCTCTTCATCCCAAACCTCTACAACCATGGTGGTCAGGTCTACACATCGTAATCCTCACTATTCCCACAGCAGATAAGGTACTCAGGAATCCTAACTGGCACCACCTCAGCCAAGTTAAACAGGTGCCTTCCAGCCATGATCCCCTGTACTCTACCCAAGTCATGGGGCCCATTTGCTTTCGTTTTACTAGGGTGCCTTCTGCAAGCCACCCTAAGCCAAGGTAAGGCTACAAAGCCCAAAGTAAACTCCTTTGCGTAGGAATTTGTTGTCCTCAAAACCTATTAGGCTGGCAATGCTAAGCATACCCACGTTGTTGGAAAAGGATATTGCACCCTGGCAGGGTGCCAGTCACCAGTTTCAATTGAATTTCCCCCTTGCACCCAAAAATCAATAGCTACTGGAGCCTCCCTGCCAGCCCTGTGTTTCTATTTTGACCAAACGAAAAAGTATTGTCAACGGTGGCTAGACATCTATGGTGGGTGCCCATTTTCCTCTTGCAAAATACATGTAGTGCTGGATTGGAATGCAGAGATCAACATAAATAGAGCAGACGTTTTTGTAGGGGATGGATCGCCTTAATATCGTAGACCCCTGGGACAACAGATGGCTGTCAGGGATAGAGGGCAAGCTATATCCTTGGTGATGCAGCACTAAGCCCTCTGGCACCATTAGGATTCATCAGCAATGTGTAAGAGTTCTTCTTGGGAGTTTTGATAAATTAGACCAAGTTGACAGGAGATCCAGGATAGTGAACCATCCTTAGCCAACCACCTACCGATGGTAGAGGCCTCGGCATAGACAAAACGTCCTGACAACCCATTCGCCTGGGTAAAAGTGATTCAGGAGGCCACAGCCCTCCTCAATGTTTCAGGAATAAACAATATGACCACCTGCTTTCTCTGTGCCTCCTTACAGCACACTCTATTAGCTGCTGTGCCCCTATTAACTTTTTCTCCCCCATATAAGTCCAAGGAGTCCCCTGCACCCTTTAAGAAAATTCCCCTGTATAACTCCTCAAATGCCAGCCGGAATAAGACCTATCCCATTTGCTACCCAACACCTCTGGCCTCAAACCACCAGTACAACAGCACCCACAGTATGTCTGGGGTTCTCAAAGCTCCCCCAGGCATGTTCTTTTGGTGCAATGGCACCCTTACTAAATGTATCAATGACCCCGTAGCAGGTCCTTGCCTCCCAACCACTGTAGTTCCCCAAATTACTATGTACGGGATTGTGAATTTGAATGGCTATGGGGTCCCAAAACCAACTTGTGCAACAAAAGGGCAGTTTTCCTACCGGTATTAGTTGACCTTAGCTTCGCCTCATTACTTACAGCAGCTGGACTCTCTAGTAGGGCCCTAGGCCAAAGTATGCGCCAGGCACAACATTTTGAGAAAAGACACCAACTGATCATGTATCCCACCTCAGAACCCCTAACTTCCTTACAGGGACAGCTTACTTCTCTAGCACAAGTATCCCTCCAAAACCATTAATATATTGGTTTCAAAACCCTGTTGTCTCCTGGCTTCTCCCTTTGGTTGGGCCACTAGTGGCCATATGGTTTCTGTTAATATCTTCCAGTTTTTTCAAGTTTCTCCAAAACAGAATAAGGGACATAACCAATTAAACTGTTTTTTTAAAAAAAATCATTTTATTAGGGGCTAATTTAACTGTTAATCAGCTTCTTTTTACACCCTTACAGTCCCCTATTTACTGAACCTGACCCAGCACACTCTGGCCTATAGCCCCTCATCACCCCCTCTCCCCCCACCCAACCCTGCCAACAGAAAGTAGTCGAATGACTCATATCACCCCTTACCACCAAAAAGCTGGGATGTTGGGCCAGGGACAGGCTGTCAAGGCCTCAGCTCTTCTCCCTGCATGTACCAGGAAACGAAGCTGATGAACAACTCTTGGAACTGGCTCCAAGAATAACCGTCTTTCCTCCCCGCCTGCAATGGCTGGACAATTAGACTAAGGAAAAACACGACAGCAGTGGAAAATCCCCAGCAGCTGCAGCCCCAACCCTTCCCCAAAGAGACCCTCTTCTGTCCCTCCTTTAAAATCCACCCCATCTCCTCACTAGATGCAACTTCCCTGGACTACTTGCTAGACCACGGAACCTTGTCCAGGAGCTTCTTTTCTAATAAAGATCTGTTACACCTTCGTAACTTTTTCTCTCTTTGTCCTTGTTCCTCAGTTTACCTCTTAAGTTTTGCTTAGGTATTTAAAGTATTGGCACCAAGCTGTCCACATGGTCTTCTGTCCACATAGGATCTGCAGAAGCTAGAGAGGCAAGAGATTTGGCTTGGTTGGTTGGATCAGGGGCATTAGGATCTGCTTGTACAGTAGAGGGGGAGCGCACAGAAGCAGCTTGAGTTTCTTCAATGGTGAAGGGGAGTCAGTCCCATTCAACAGGCGTTGGTAACCTCTGACTTTAAGAACTTAGGTGTAGTTAGCTTTTAAGTTGTTTTCTTGGCTTCCAGGGAGTGTCGCACTGCCTTCTTACTGAGATCTCTCTGGTAGTTCCTAAAGAGATCTTCTCAGGTTTGGTGGCTATATTCCCCCACTTATGACATAGTCCATTTTTGATAAAGCATTTCTTTTCAATGAATGATAAAGTAGAAATTTTCTTTAGATGACAAATTAAAAAATAACTATGGCTAAGTTGTGGGGGAGTCACCTCCCCACAACTGAATTGGTCCAAGGGGCGGTTGTATAATCGAAGGGTAAATTAAAGAGACATCAGACAAGATAAAGCATGCAAGGGCTCACCTCTGAGATTGGT